GTCTTGGACCAAAGACGCCAACAGAACCACATCATCTGCATACAGCAGAGATGAGACCCTGTGGTCCCCAAACCAGACCCCGTCCTCTCCACGACTGCACCTTGAGATCCTGTCCATAAACACTACAAACAGGATCAGAGACCAGGGACAGCCCTGGAGTCCAACACGCCCGGAGAACAAGCTCGACTTTGTGCCAAGATGTGAACACAGCTCCTGCTTTGGTTTAATGGATGCGGTTTTTTTTTAATTAGATATCAAAAACAAATACTGCAGTTGTGAAGTTTTAAAAATGATAAGTTAGATTATTGAGAAGGAGACGCTCATGACCAATCAGTGTCCTGCAATCCGCTGACGTCAAATCATCATCTTGGCTCGCTCTTCGTATGGTTACCCCACAGATAGGCTGTATATAAAGATGAGCAAAAAAGTTTTGAGTAATACAGATTTAACATTATTGGAGTAAATTTGCTTGATCAAAACGTTTGCATCGCTGCCTTCAGTCTCTTTTGCCAGAGACGAGTCATTCATACAGTATAAGTATATACGTATAAAAGCTTTAATTCAACTATTAACAGTGGGTTTGAATAACAAAGTTGAAAGCATGTTTAAGTAATTTCCATTTTGCCCATACTGTTAAGTTATTTAAGTAATTAAAATGCAACAACTTTGTTGCTCGTTGTTTAGATTCTAAAACTGTTTCAAATGTATTTAATTAGTTAGTTACCGGTAGTTAGTTTATTCATTTCTTTAAAACAAAAAAAAAAACTAAAATATTTTATACATATTAAAAAAACATTAACTAAACTTTATGCCGAATCAAAGAAACGAACAGTTGCTACAAACTAATATAATTCTTGCTTTTATTGGTTTAATATACTGCTAAAACTCCACAAATCGTTTAAATGTACAGCTTTGTCAATGGAGTTTGGCGTYACATCAGAAGCCGTAGCGCGATCGTCACTGTCGTACATGTAAACATTTTACAGCAGGCCGTATTCCGGTCAGCGCTGTGGAACTCCACGTGAACGCGACTGAACGTTGAAGTTTCAGTGATTTATGGTTCTTTAGAGGAGCTTTGGACGCTGAGGCCGACAGGATGCTGTATCTGATCGGCCTGGGGCTCGGAGACKCCGCCGACATCACGGTGAAAGGCCTGCAGGCGGTGAAGCGCTGCTCCCGGGTCTACCTGGAGGCCTACACCTCCATCCTCACGGTGGGGAAAGAAGCGCTGGTGAGTCCGGAGCAGAGCTGTCAGAAGCGCGTTCAAGAATATAAACGACGTGTGACTTGTTTTTATAAGAGTTTAACATGTAAAAACTGTAGGAGAAGAGGAGAAAGAACAAAGATCAAAAGAAACTTAAGCTTCCGGTGACCCGTTCCCATGGTAACCCTGGACAACTCTCTTGATGACAGGCAGACAGAAGTTTATTACAGCAGAATAAAACATTTTAAACAAGACAGCTACAGTTTTAGCTACTAGTTTGCTATTTTTTATCTAACAGTTTTGATCATTGTAGCATTTAGCCACAGATTTGTACAGTTTAGCTAAGCTGTTCCTTTTCTTTTAGCTGCTGCTGTTAGCTTTATATTTTTCCTGCTACTGTTCTGTTTCTGTTTAGCTGAACAGGTTTTGTTTGGGTAATTTTAGGTACGCTTATTCTGTTTTTAGCTTTTAACTTCTATTTGGCTTATTTTTTGCCATCTTTAGCTTTTATTTAGGTAGTTGTTATTTTACTTTAGATATGTATTTTAGCTTTAATCCACTGGTTGACTAATTTTGGCTTCTGTGTTTTTATGCTAACTAGCGTTTGGCTAYAGTTCCTCTGGTTTTTCTCGTATCTACAGTTTTGCTAATGTTAGCAATTATCTGAAGATTTGGTAGTTTTCAGTTTAGCTGTTCTTTAGCTTTAGCTCTTATTTACTGTTTTGTTTACTTTTTTCAGTTTAGCTATTTTAAGCATTTGTTAATTTAATTCAGGCTTTTAACCACTGTTTTAACAGTTTGGGCCTKTTAGCATTTTACTCTTTASCTTTTAGCTACTGTCCTGCCATATTTGGTTCCWGTCTAGTGATTTTTGGTACATTTTTGTTTTTAATTTTTAGCTTTTGTTTGTTCATTTTAGCATTTAGCTACTGGTTTACTTATTTTTGTTTTGTAATCATTAGCTTTTATTTTGGTAAATGTACCATTTTGCTACTTTTAGTTTTAGCTTGAAGCCACTGGTTGAGTAATTTTGGCCTCTGTGATGCTATGCTAAATTTAGTGTTTCTAATATTCCTCTGGTTTTTGTTTTTAGGTATTCTTTTGCTAACTTTCTTATATTTAAAGTGTTGCTAACATTAGCATTTTGTTTCAGCTACTGTTATTCTTTTAGCCACTGTTCTGCTAACTTTAGCATTTATCTACTATTTTGTCCATTTTAGTTTGTTTAGCTTTTTTTTTAGCTCTTTTGCTAATTTAGTTTTTGACTATTTTTAGCTAGCTTTAGCATTTAGCCACTGTTTACCAATATTAACCTCTGTTTAGTGTTTTGCTAACTTTAGCTTTTAGCTACTCTTCTACCAGTATTGTTTATCAAGTGATTGTTTACTTTTATGTACATTTGATATTTTTAGTTTTTAGCATCGTTTACTAATGTTAGCTCTCAGCAACAGTTTTGCTAAGCTCTGATAGTTTCAGTTCAGTTTCAGCTTCTTGAATAACTTAAGCAGTCGTCTGTCGGTCTCAGGCTCTCTCATGAATCATGTTTCCATCCAGTTGTGGAGTGAATTTTTATCGAACTTTTCAAAAT